AAAAAAATATCTGAATTTATATCCCCACCAATGTAAGTTTCTCCAAAATCTGGCCTTCAGCCAGATGGGAAAAAAGAGGAATGTTTAGAGTATAGACGCAGTGGAGGAAAATGACCTTACGCTGCACAGCACAAAGACAGTTTCCGCCTCCAGATTTCCCTTGCTTGGGCCATACCACCCATGGGAATCTATGTAGATCCTTGATTGTTAAGGCAGTGGAGAGAGAGTTGCATGTATGAACCAGCTGGAGGAGGGGGCAGCAGTGATCCTGGCTTCCATGGTACCAACTGGGATCAAAATAATACCCCTCCCCACAGGGACAGAGACACACGCACAAACACGTTGGAAGCTGATGAGATGGCTTAGTCACACCTGCAAACTTTGGCTGGTGGTTCACTGATATGGGTCTGTCTCACGCATCACCCTAAGCTTCAAGTAGCCACTGAATATCCATTTGAGTAGAAAGACAGGCTATGTCTTGAGGGAATGGAAGAATGAAGGAATGGAACCACCAACTGTGGTTTATGCAATGCATGTGGTTAAATAAATGATTACAGTGGAGCGACAAATGTATTTGGGCAATGTTGGGCTTCAGGATTTAGTGACTGTGGTCTAGCGAACAGATTTCCTGATGTTTCATGGGCAACTGTGTCTGGCATCTTCAGAAGCAAAGTGATCTTAGGAGGCGAGAGGTAATGAAGATGCATTATCCAAAGCTTTCCTCAGTCAGAGAGGGTCATTCCTCTGCTGGGGTAGCCCGAACAGGGAGACTTAAGGGTTAATCTTCAAGTGCCCCAAGACAGCCTTTATGTTTGGCCAAGGGTTCTCAACAGACCATGTTTGCTCTGGCAGAAAGAAAGTGATTCTGTTGAAGATAAATAGGACCTGTTCGTTGTGGTCTTGCAATCATCCTCAGGAAATTTCCACATAGCAACTAGGAGGTCATTAGCTGCCACATGGCTGTTTATGGAATATCGGGGGGGCACAGACGCATGTTTTGAAAGGACAAGCTGTTCTATCACAACTGTAAATTAGGGTTATCTTGGATGTGTGTAGATTACCATCAGTCCTCAACAGATAGCTATGCCTCAAGGGTTCTTTTATTTAATATGAAATGAGCCCTGTATATTTATGTGCATAATTTTTTGCTTGTCTCATTTCATTCTGATTGCGATAGAAAATGCTTAGAAAATAAGGAAGAGGAAACAAAGAAAGAAAAACTCCTTCATTTTTCCAGGAGCTGATACTATCAGGTTGCAGTCTGGGGGAAACGGGAGAGTACAGGCCAGTCCGTCAAAAGGCTTAAAACTTCATCTTCGATTTTTTCACTTCAAGCTGGTCCTTTTAAGAACTTGCTGATGGATAAGTTCCATTAGAACTGGAGAGACCGAGACTGTGTCCCTCCTCAATCAAGGAACCTCACTCCGTCTTTTGTGCTCTCCTCTGCAGTGCCCTATTCCATTTTTTTTTTTTAATTTAAGACACCTTATTTTTTTAAAGCCCAAAAGCCCAAGGCAGGTTTAAAACACTGGTCATTTTTCTCATCACGTTCCTTCCAATTTACTCAGTTGTTTTCTGACCGAGCCAATGTCCTACAGCAGTTGAAGGTGAACTGGGCTATATGTATATAGCTCTCATTTCGTTAAATAAAAAGTGGCTGGAGGAAGGACTTTTTACTCCTATAACAGCCAGCAGGAAAAAAATATTTATTAGAATCCTGCAGAACATGAGGCGGCTACTTTCCAAGTGAATTCTTTATTATGGGTGTTGATGTAGGATGCGTCCTCAGTTGAAAACTCACTTCTGCTAGGAACCACCTGGGCAAACTTTCAGCCTCTTTGCCCTCTCCTACTCCTTTTAATATGAGAATCATCTCAATCCAACCTGCAGGATTGTTGTACTACAGATGATATGACACACAAGACATGGCAAATGCTTCATACTTGTTGGTGTTGTGAACTACTGGGGTGCAAACACAAAAAAGCCACTCTTCTGTCACAAATGCTTCCACCAGGTCGAGTGTGCTTTTATACAGTTCACCAGCATTTTCCTCACTTGCCTTCAAATCCCACCCAGCTTTCTCTATGGGTTGTGGATAATTCCACAGTGACTCATTGGACTTCATTCTTGCTGTCTCGGCTGAGTTTTGCAGAGACTTGCACTGGCCACCACAGCCACAATCTTCTGGTCTGGCTAGATTTCAGCTAGGCTTCAAAAGGGATTTTCCCTTCTAGAAGCAACTGCTGGAATTTAACCTAGAATAGCACCCAGAAACATACAGACAAGGGACCCTCCCCTCCAGACAGTTCCAGATTAGGGATTAATTCTCAGAACAGGAAGGACCAGCTAGAAAACTGTTCATTCAGAGGCTGGAACCTTTTGTAGTAAAGATATTGACATTACTACTCCTAGTAGCTACAGAAAACGAATTTGATAGGATCAAATTACCAAATACTTGGGGAACTGAAATGGCCTTAATGTACTTTAGTAGATTTGCCTTCCTAGCTGTGTTTACTAAGCATCGATTCATGGCATATTGTAGGAATCCAGGGATTGGGATTTGCTCAACGAAACATAATGTAGAAGAATGTCTGAACCTCCCAAGTGACTTGCCTAGGGCTGATCTTTCAATCTAGCTGGGTTCCCATTCATTTTTCAAGCCATATTCTCTCCGCAATCCATCGGCCCAGGGAGCACTGAGGACCTTCTAAATGTCTAGAAATTAAAAGGGTCCCACAGAGCGTTGTGTCTTTAAAAAAGAAAGAAAAAGAATAGCAGAATATATTTTCTTTAAAAAAAGCTTTTTTTTTTAATTTGTCAAATCATTTACATAATGTCAAGTACACACAAGAAGCCAAGTGGTTCCTCCAGAGAAGCCACAGCAATAGGATTGCGTGAAGGGTTGGAGAGGGTGCTGGATAGGAAAAGGCAACCTCCCATCCTCATCTTTGCACACAATAACATCCAGGAAGGTGATCAGAGTGGGTAGCAGTTTGAACAAGGCACAGATCAGGAGCAAGCGGCTACCTCTTTACAAGCAGAGTTGGCACTTCTGCTATAAAACTATGCATCTTTTCTTCTCTCCAACTCTCCCTCCACGTCCAGCATTGTGGAATTGCTGATAAAAATTTGCATGCTGAGAAAAATTGGAAGAACGTTCTTCAGAGACAGATGAAACAGGTGAGGAAGAATGTATTTTATTCCCAGTTACGCCTCTTCTCTAAATCCTCAAGTGCAGATCAGGATGCGCAAAGCCTTGATCTTCAAACTTGAAACAGAGGGAGTAAGATACGCTCTTCCTAGGCTACAGGTAAAAAGGACTGAATTAAATAAGATACATCTTCCAAGCAGAGCGCAGGTAGATTCAGGAGGATGGTTTAGAATACCCTCCCAGGCCTAGTAACCTTTAGAGAAGTTGAACATAAATCTTGGGGCTGTCCCAGGTGGGGCACTATAAACATTTAAACCATTACCTCTAGTGGGATCCAGGTTGGTGAAAGTCTGTTTAGAGCCTGTCTTTAATATATAGGAAGGATTTACAAAAAGCATAGCTGTTATAAATAAAGTAGATCCCCCATTTTACTTATATTAACCCTCATTATGTCTCTGGATCCAGCCTGCTCCTACCCATATTGGATTTTCTCTTCCTGACCTGAGCAGATGCTTCTCTGCATTCACACAAGCATATACCTTCAGTATTGCCAGCATTAAGGCACTCAGTTTAGCAATTGCTCAATTCTCACATTTTCCTTCTCCTCTCCAACTCCAGACAAGTCCTGTGGCTCTTCCCGAAATCAAAGGAACTCAGTAAATTCTCTGCTACAATTAAGCACTGTTGTGTCAATTTAATTCCAAGATTTAAAACCTAAAATTAAATTAGGAAAACAAAGCACAGAAGACTTTCAAGTAAACAAAAATTAAAAACTAGAATAGATGATAGCTGGGACTTTAATGTTTTCCTGGCTGCAGGTGAGAAATAAAACTGGCTGCTTCAGCTAATAAAAATAACTCTTCCTTTGTTTTGAAGAAAGAGAACAAATGGTGCAGGTAGGTGAAAATGTTACAAGATTGGTCAAACGACAGCAGAGATCTAGGCTATCATCCTCATCTGCCTTTAGCAAGAGGGACAAGATCGCACCAAATTCTACTTTATACAATGTTCTTCTTGCAAACCGATGGTAAACGCCTCTCAACAGAGAGAGATTTCTTCCTCATGTTTGGACGGCACATGTGGTAGCCCTTAAAAACTTGCTGTTGAAAACCTTTACAGCTGACTTTGGCAGCCCAATCCAGCGAGACAGGAACTCTGGTTTTCAACCCTGGAAAATCTGCTTTGTGCAAAGTTTAGTGCCCTAAGGCCTTTGGAGTAGAAGTTGCACAATCTCCAAAGGTATGTCAAGCAATTATCACAAGGGAGGGAGCTTTGAAACGCATCACTTAAGACTGACACTGAGCCCTGCGTGAGCCTGCTTTGGTGGCACCCGACCTTTCCATAGGAAGTTTCATCCTCCTCAGCAAACCTTACTGGAAAAGAGGCGCTCTTAAAATCAGCAGGGTTTGATTCCAAGCAAATGTGCCACATTCTAAGGCGTGTGTGTGTCCTACTCTGTGAAAGGTGATGCAATTCAGCACATTTATATAGCTGGGATCCAGCCACCTTGCACCATAGTTTTAACCAGGTTCCATAAACCTCTCTGGTCTGAATGCAGACCTCCATTTACAGGCAGAACAGCTATCAATTCAGCAGTTCCAAAAAAACAAAGTTCTTCAGGATTTCAGTCTCTTTCCAATTTAAACATTAAAAAAAA